GAAGCTCAAAATTACAAGCTTAATATTGATGGTACTTTCTTGAGAAATCCAGGTGTAGCGGGTGGTGGAATCATCAAGAACATAGAGGGCGATTTTATTGTTGCTTTTGCAAAACATTTTGGTTTTGCTTCTAATAACCATGCAGAATTTTAGCACTTGAGGAAGGCATTCAATTGGTTAATCAAAAGAATTGTTTTCCATTACAGATAGAAAGTGATTCGGCCTTGCTCGTGAATGTCATTTATAATCAATGCAATGCTCCATGGCAATTAAAGACGATTGCAGATAATTGTTCTACCAAACTTTCTTCTCATCGATGGTCTATTACACATTTTTCGGGAGGCAAATATGGTTGCTGATGCCCTCACTAAGAGGGCATCTGCTGGCCCCAGTGCTATTGTGTGGCGCCATAGAAAACCAGATTTTCTTTCCTCTCTTTTATTACATGATCTGAGGCAATTGCCCTACTATAGGATTGTACTTTAATTATTTTTCTCTGCACTTTTACTAATGGTAAAACAGGTAGGGGGCCTTCTCCCCCTCTGACTTACCCAAAAAAAAAAAAAGGTAGCATGATATTGCCATGATAATGTCTCTTGATTTGATAAGCATGATAATATGACATAATGATGTCTATTACATTGATATGTAGCCTGCTATGGACATGATAATGCCTCTTGAATTGATAAGCATGATAAAATGACATAGTGATGTCTACTACGTTGAGCCGTGATAATGTCTCTTCAATTGATAAGCATGCCTGTAGTGCCTCACATAAGTTTTGGGGGAACAACCACTCAAACACACACTCTTAACCCTCATCCTATCATAGAGAATAGGGAAAAATCACAACTACCGGCAAAAATATCTCATCAAATCATAACAGAAGCATGTCTCTATGTGCACATATCTTATCAAAAGCATACTACCATGCATAGATCATATAACAGAAACATGTCTCCATGCACAGATATCTTATCACAGCACTTTACCATACATTGATCATATAATAAAAACATGTCTCCATGCACACATATCTTATCAGAAGCTTGTTACCAATACATAGATCATATAACAGAAGCATGTCTCCATGCACACATATCTTATCAGAAGCATGTTACTATGCATAGATCATATAATAGAAGCATGTCTCCATGCACACATATCTTATTAGAAGCATGTAACCAGGCGTAGATCGTATAACAAAATCATGTCTCCATGCACACATATCTTATCAGAAGTATGTTACCATGCATAGATCATATAACAAAAACATATCTCCATGCACACATATCTTATCAGAAGCATATCACACATATAATCACAAGAAACATTAACATGTCTAGAGCATGCTATATATATAATCACAAGAGACATCACTATGTCATATTATCATGCTTATCAATTCAAGAGATATTATCATGTCAATAGCATGCTATATATCAATGTAATAGACATCACTCTGTCATTTTACCATGCTTATCAATTCAAGAGATATTATCATGTCAATAGCAGGCTACATATCAATGTAATAGACATCACTACCCCTTTAGTAGTGTAACACTATCTCGCCAGAAGGGCACATGAGAGAGTCATGTCTTGCAAGGACAGTACCTATCAAAAGCCCCAAAGCGCGTTGGGGTTGTGTGCATGTGTGAGGCACTACGCAACGGATTGACCCGTTGATGGTGCTTCTCTCCTGGTTGTGATGGTAGAGGCTCCATGTATCAAGAATTGATTGGCCTAATGGGTGGGCTTCTACTTCAGGAGTTAGTTTGGTATCTCTTGAACTTGATTATGATTGTTACATGCATGCCTAAATGTTTTGATATGTTATGATGCTCATGCCTGAATGATTTGATCGACTTCTTATTACAATCATATCTGATTAATCTGATTAGTTATTACTCCACCATGAAATAAATCATGCATGATACGTTTGTTTAAATGTGAATTGGACACATGATTCCATGTTTTGTAAGACTTGTATGAAACTCTGATTATTGTCATGACATAATATTTGCAAGCATGAAAGCATGGTACCTAGATCTTATTTACTGGGCTTTGTAGCTCACGCTGTTAATTTTTCCTCCATGTAAAGTGAAAGCCAGTTGTGGTTGAAGTGGCGTGTCCTGGTGGTCGTGTTTAGGGTCCCTTACCCCCTTCTGCTGAAGCTCCATTTTGCGGTGTATATTTTGGTTGGCTGTCTCGCCATACACTTCATTTGATTTGGTATTATGTCTTGATGTTGGGCCTTTTGTGCCTTGGACCTATATATATTATTTTGGACTGTTATATGTATTTTGGGACTTGTTTGTCCAGCAAACTATGATTATATATATCGTGTTTTGTTTTCATTTCTTTTGTGGCTAGCTTGATACAGGAAATACCTTTTTTTCAAGGCGTTGAGAGCACTCCAACCAAAATGGCACTCGCAACCTGTGGTCGTGGCCCCACACCCTACTGTCCTCCGACGGGCCCGAGCCTGGCCCTCTATGGGTCCAGCAAGGATAGTAGGGAGCGGGGTCGTGACATTTCCATAACTCTGTTCCCATCAAATATATGTATAGAGAAAATACTATATATTTACAAATCTAATTTCAATCAATCTCTACACATTCCTATTTTAAATCAATCAACCTTATCCCATAAAACCTTCCTTTTATTTTCAAAACAAGAAGCCTCCATCACAAGCCACACAATAAAAAAAAAGAATGGAATATGTGGGGCACGTGCCACACAAAGTGAGCTATGCGAGGCCCACACCCCACCTAATGGGCTCAAATGTGGTGGGCCCCCACACCTCAAAAAGAATTTTAGATAAATAAAAAGAACTAGTAAATATTTTCTTTCCTTGATTTAAATAAATTCAGAAAATTAATTATTCCTTATTTAAAAATCCTTTTTCACTAAAATTATCTTTGAATTAAATAAATTCAGAAAACTATTTTTTTATTTAAAAATATTTTTCATTAAAATAAAATATCCAGAGAGATCTAAAAATTCATTTTTATTATCTAAAATATAATTAAAACATAAGTAAAAATATTTATGAAGATTTGATGGGAATTGGATCCAAAGAGTTAACAATATCACAAATATAGGACTTCATCCCTTTTAAAAACCACATCTCATTGTCATCTTCTCAAACTGACCCAACAGTTCCCATGACCCACAGCCCTTTGTAAGGATTCATGCTTGGACTATCAAAGTCAGCCAATAAATGAAGGAGACACGACATTAGCCCATGGATTACAAGTCCTCCCTAAAGACAAGTTCAGACCCCATTCTAGCATAATAACTCATGAGTCCTTCTAACACAGTCCAATGTTGCAAGGAGACATCTCTTCGGCACATGTACACGACACACCCTCACCCAGAGAGCTGCTTCCCGGACGGCAATCTAGTGTACATGTCGTGTGATGGTAATGATGAGGATTTGGCCCTCGTCCTCTTCAGCCAACCACAGCACACAGGCGTCACACCAGTGTTTTAAGATGCAGCCGCATCGCCGCATATGCGGCCGCATCATGCGGGATGCGCTCACATCCGCATCAGAAACAGGCGCATATGCGTTTTTGACAGATGCGGCCGCATATGCGCTGCATCAGGCTGCATCGTAGCCGCATCTTGCATAGGCCACATCCCACTGCTACAGTGTCCACTGCATGTTTTTCCTGTTTTGCCACTCGGGGAGGGGCAAAATGGTCTTTTCAACTATTCAAATGTTAGGGAACTGTATGAGGGGGTATTAGGGGCCCTAAACGAAGATTTTCAGCCACTTTTGTGGCTTTTTTTGCATCAAATTGAGGAAAAAAAAAATTTAGGCAGAATTTTTTTTCATCGAAATCTTCAATTTGGCGGTTGTTTGATACTTGAATGTTCATTAGATAACTTTGATTGTTGATACTTGATACTTGAATGTTCATTCGGGAGTTTCAGAAGTTGTAAAGAAATCGAGCAGTACTTCACAGAGTCGGTAAATGTTTTTTCCTTCTTGTACAATATTACTATTATACAAATTTTAGAGGCAATGTCTTCTTCCCAATCTTCTAGTAATAAGGATCCGACTTGAAAATATGCGAAACTAAAAAATCCCAAAGATAGAAATTGTGTGATATGCTTACTCTGTGGAAATACTTATATGGGTGGATAACTCTATACAAAATCTCCGACAACCAATAGTTTTGAAGTTAATCATTAAACTAAAATACCTACTATCACATATATCACCTTCATTTTTTTTTCTATGTATTAACTTTTTTAAAAAAAAAATTTAGAATTTTTTTACATTTATTGACCCCATCAATGCGATGCAGCCGCATCCGGGCCGCATCGCCGTATCGGTCCCCCACCGCATCAGGGCCGCAATCCGTATTTTAAAATACTGGGTCACACCCAATCCCCTGGCCAACCACCATGGGCACAATTCCGACCTCACAAGGGATGACCGTCAAAGCTTATTAGTTGTGCACAAATGCCCAGGGCTACTTCTAGATATCAACCTGAGTCATAGACCGTCAAAGCTCAAGTGAATCACGGCATCAACCCTCACAATCCACTCTGGACCAGGCCACACAGTCCATTTGGACTATGCTCTAGCTGAAGCTATCATATCACTATAGTCATAGTTTTACATACTCTCATAAGAACTTTAAATGGCCACATGACCCCTACAAAAATCATTCCGGTCAAGAGTTTGTCATGGGACATAAAAACTGTATGTCTACCTTAGTTTAATGAAGCCATGCAATAGGAGGAACCAAAGTCTCAGTCCAACACCACATATTTGAAACCATCTCTAGGACGACATTGAGAAAAGTCCAACACAACCTAGTACCACTGCAACATAGTGCTTAGTAAGGGTTTAAAATTATGCCTTTTACAGACAACTACCAGATAGTTTTTCTAAAGCAATTTGACCACCCATTTTGTAAAGAGTTGCAAGAGGTCCTTCAAAACAATATGTCATTGATTAAAAAAGAGAAAAAGGAGCATACCTTTAACAAGCTCATGGCCATAGATGGATGGGCAAATAGAGTGAAGAAGTTGACAAAAGATATTTGATCCATGCTCCTCTGAGAACCTAACAATGAACTCCAAATCCCTCGGGGAAAAGGCATACAAATCAGTCAACAAGCCAGCTCTAAAATCAACATTGGTAACTTGCAAATCTTCAGCAGCAGATTGGGATTTAGAATTTCTAATGGAAACTGCCTCAAGATACAAATAGTATAGTCCCTGATTTTTGCTTTTTGATTTTCCTGGAAAGAGTGAGATTCCAGTGAGCATTTTCTTTGCATTCATGAGTGGATATAAAAGGTCTAACACAAAGAACTAATGAAAACAAGGTTACCAACACAAAATGCCCACATAATATAGTAACTGGTAGTATTTTTTAGTTCAACTTCTTTGACGGATAATTTTTGCACAAATCATAGTCATCAGACAAATGATAACAAAAAGGATTGACTTGCAATGCATCCGATAAAAGGAAAAAGATTAACACCATAAAAGAAAAATAGAGAACAGACAAGAACTGGAAAATCTTAAGCTTAACAAGATAAATAAAGAACATATAACTCAAGGAAATCATTAAGCTCAGAAACCTCTCTAAATATGTTGCACGAGACGATAGCCTGAGAGGATCATGAGGAAAAAGTCAAGTATGGATTATGCATTTAAGTCACTCCACAATTTACTATTGCAAAAGGATTAAACATATAACAAAGCATTTCCACCAAGGAGAATTTGAATTGCTATGCTCGTTGCAGATCCATATGTCTACTGCAACAAAGGAAAAGATTAAACTTCCATGTGAAAATCAAAGGTTATTAGAACTGGAGAGTAGAATATCGCTTTTTGTACTGAAGACAATACGTGGACATAGGATTGCAGAGTTTGGTTTGATGAATTGCTCAAGAAATGAAAAGGTAAAGAGTATGTTGACCTCATATGCCATAATAGTTTCAAATTTTAAATGGTTAAAACAGGCAACATAGTATTACCTCTTAACTGATGAAAAATAAAGTTTTTTTTTTCTTTTCCACTTAGGGACCTATCCAACACCAACTTCATGTTATGGCACACTTGAATCAAGAATACAAGTTCCATTGCCCTATGTGGCAAAGTTGTGTATTCGATAACTTTGTAGGGAAGCATGGGATTCGTGATACGTTCATCACAGTAGTGTCACTAGAAATTAAATGAGGAACCTGCTAGAGCAACGAGGCCACATTGAAGGCACCAATTCTCAAAGATTTCAGGAAAAATTCCCGCACTCATTTCTACTTCATTTGCTTAAGTATTTTTTTCATGGTTTTTTTAAGAAGAAAAACCAACTAAGCTATAAAAAAAATCATGGTAAAATATATTTTGATGGTTTCCTTAAAATAGATTACTTGCAGTGGTCAGGACTTTAGGCTAGTTCAGATGAGGCACATAAGTCGCTGCACCAAACAGCCTTATTGTAGAAATGGGCAAAACAGGTTTCTAAAGATTAGCCCCTACCCCAGTCAGCAGTGTTTTGCACATAATTGAGTCTGATAAGCTGTAGCTATTGGCCCCATACATAATGCTGAACTGAATGGCCCCGCATATGAAGCAGCCATAGCAGTACTTACACACTATCCATACGAACTCTTTGTGCATACAATTGTCATAAAATTAATCATGGTGATAATGATGATGATGAGGACGACGACAACACCACCAACAAAAAATAACAATAACTAGGAATTGGGCTTGGGATTGAGTGGTTAGCCACTGATGTTTAGCAGCGATACATCTCAAGTTCACTTCCTACCACTGAACTACCCAAAAAAAGAAAAAATAACAATAACTACATAAAGAACTTCAAGTCCCAAATGCTAAAATATGCAAGCCTACCCTTTGCATGCATCATGCCGTTGGCATCTTCCTTGCAGATTGAGTTTAAAAGGATATCCCATATATGCATCTTCACCAAGAACACTAACATCTTTTTTGTCAACAGAACTAAAAAGTGAAAAACTAGAGGCCCTAGGAAACATGACTTTGTGATTTATAGGCATGAGGAAGAAACATAGGCAACAAATTGGCCCATGATATTATCCTTCAACTACTTTCTTACATGCAACAAATGTGTTCTAAAGCTTCACTCTGTGGAGCATTCCCACAAACCACAATGCTGATCGACCATTCCAAACTTGTTAGCATAGAAAATGTCCCTTGATGCATCAGTCATTTAAGGAGCATGACTTTTACTCGTGTCCTAAATCGTTGCATCAAGTTGCATTTCAAAGATCTTTCAGTTATCTATAGAGGCTATTTATAGTAATTTTTCATAATTTTGTTGTTTTCAGCCTCAAATCTTAGTTTCAAACTATACATGAGGAAAGTGACAAATTTTGGGACTAATTAGGTTTCTTTATACTTAATAAGTATTTGGGGTATTTTATGGCTCTAATTTAATTACTAGCATTAAACTTAGGTAGGGTTTCGTATGCTTATAAATAGATTATTTGACGTCCAAATCAGAGGAGAGGTAATTTCATTGAAACTATACTCCTTGTTATCAAATGCGAGGCATAATAATGCACCAAAAAGAGCAGGCAAGTATAATGTGACACTACTGGAATTCAATAACTATAAACAAGGAAATTGTAGAAAATAAGATGTTTTATTTCATATCACACCTCCTCCTACATCCATATAGGTGTTAATTACTTTTATGATCCCACAAACCGTCACCACATCACCAGGTATACATGCATCAACAAGATCTTCAGTCAACTCACACTCCACTGTTCGAGGCATCCGGCCTTCTTCATGAAATTCCGACCTCTGCAGTTCTTGTACTCTATGAAACAAATGACAAGTGTCATTTAAGATTATGTATACATAAGTATTACTGAACTTCACAAGCACCATCCAAGACAAGTGCCAAACCTTATTTTTTGAAAATCAATAGGTTGAGCTGTAGATCTTATGGGGAAAAAGGTCCTGCTTTTGCATCCATGTGAATTGCAAACCATTGGAGGTGAGTATTTCCCATCGGGAAATACACGTGGAATAACAGTTCCACACTTCCCACATGCAAAACTCATTCTCACCACTAATGGCCTGACTGTGCTAACTTTGACAACAGTACCACGAACAGAGACAAGCCTGCCTGTGAGATCAGTTTAGATTGTCAAGTATCGCCTTCCACATTGCAACTTATGTTGCCAAAGGGAATAAAATTTGAAAAGAGATGTGTATAAACTACCAATGTAGGCAGACTTTAGGTTCTTCAATGCAATCATTGATGCAGGATGGCTGTGCAGACGTATATTAATCTTCTCCTCATTCTCTAACTGGTTTTTCCCTCTGGATAACAAAACCTGCTTAATTATGGAAGAGTAATTTGTCAGATTTTTAATTTGCAATTCAGATGATTTGTCATCAGCATTAACATCTTTGATTGTAAGTTTAGAATGAGACCAAATTGGTAGGCACATTTAAACAGAACCATGCCATATATACCTTGTGTACTGCAGCACCCATGCTTAAGAGGGCCTCCTTTGGAGCTACTTCTAGTGCTGCATAAAATTCCTCAACATTACAGCTCCTTTGAAGCTGGTGAAAGTCAAGAGGAAGATATAATATCCCATCATCACGCTTAACCTAATCATACAGCCCAAACATCAAGATTTAGACATCAGATAAACTTTACCAGAGATGCAATAAATAGACACTGAAAAATGTAAATATCAAAACATCTTGAAACCAATTATATGAGTAGGATCAGTCCTCTTTGGCATGGTACGCATAATACAGCAATTCTTATGGTGATTTAGCACTAAAATGTACGCATAGGACACCAATAATATGAGTAGGGTCAGTCCTCTTTGGCATGGTACGCATAATACAGCAATTCTTATGGACAAGCCCAAAAATGACAACTAAACCAATTTAATTCAGAAGTATTAAATTATCGTGCATAATAACTAACCATAAAGTTCACAGTTCAATCTTCCAAGAAAACTTGCAGAACTACTTATTTGGGAGATCAATTTCGAATAAACATTAGGCCTGTCTAGCATACTCTTTTTTTGGACTCGGCACTTTTAAAGCATCAACGTGGAGGCTTCATTCAATCAGAAATGACAGCATTAACGAAGAGAAAAATACAAACAGGATAAAAGGCAACATATATAAATGAAGCTAACTCCTGAGGCATTGGTCTCATACACCACAACTTTCCAGTCCCAAATTGCCAACCTAGATGCTTTAGAGTTTTCCTTACAGCATTCATGACATTTTATTTTATTTTTGAGAATTGTTAACTTTGCATAAATGGCAAAGTAATTACAAAGGGATTAATCTATGGACGGCATCCCACAAGTTGGGCGTTCAGACTACAATAAATAAGAAGTATATAGAATGCCAAAATGGTGGACAAGGAAGATTGGGGGGTGGGGCAGTCTGTCTTCTGTCAACTTGCTTGGAATGTAATGCCTCCAAAGACCAGCAAGCTGTGGGGGTGATTGTGAGTAAAGTGGAAGGAGAATCCATATATGGTTAAGCGGATAGTACGTGGCATCCAGAATGAATGTTTGGATTTTGTAAGCTGTGATTTTGATGTGCATTGTCGCCTGATCTTGAGTGGCATCGATCCTTAACAGAAAAGTTTCAGCACAGCAGAGATGTTTGTCGTGAGAGATGGCATAGGGGGAGAGGAGGAGTCGCATAGATTTGAGGAGCAGCAGTCATCAGCAGCATCAGTTCAGCGTTTCAACAGGGGTGAGGTAGAGAAAAGAGAGAGAGAGGGGAATGAGGAAAGAGCATGGAGTACACAGATAAATGAAGGAGAGAGAAATGAGAAATAGGAGTTGAGCATTTCCACAGGGGTGAGGTAGAGAATAGACAGAGACTGAGATGAGGAGCGGAGAGAAAGTAGAAAGAGACAGAGAGTACGTATAGACAGATGAAAGAGAGAGATGTGAGAGAAAGGCTCAGAAGCATACGAAAGCAAGAAAAGAGAAGGGGTGAGAAGAGGAAGAGGAGGAGAGGTGAAAGGAGGAAAGAAGGTCAAAAAAGAGAATTTAAGAAGGGCAAGGTTTGAAAAGAAGAGAAGAATGGTAGGAATTGGGAGTAGAGCAGGGAAAGGGGAGTAAATAGAAGAAAAAGATAGCAAGCAGAAAGAGGAAAGAAAAGATGAATAGACATAAGACATTCTTTTTCCTCTTTCTATTTTATTTCTTTCTTTTTTTTCTTTCTTCCTTTCTTTTTTTCCCCCCATTTTTTTGGGGGAGGGGGGGAGGAAGGGGAGAGGGAGATGGAGAGGGAGAAGATTTAGAGATACTGAGATGAGAGAGAGGAGGAAGATTCAAGGGGAAATCAATGTATCTATGCCCCGTGAAGCTCCTTGTAACAGACAGTCAGCCTTTGAGTTGGCCTCCCAAAATACGAGTTTGAAGGGAACTTGTGGAAGAGTGCTGCAGAGGAAAAAAATATGCTCAAAGGTGGAAACAAACCTCCATGGGGGTCCCAGAGAATGGTATTTTTGGAATCAGATTCATCCCTTGGGCAGAGGATCCCACTAGTACCACATGTTTGAGGCCTTCGAGTAGGGCCAGAGTCTCCATTAGAGTGGAGTCCTTGACACCTATGAATTCAAAGAAGGTCCATTGGGTTGAATTTGAATTTGTGAGCATTCCTCCATTTCCAGAAGGTCCTGTGCTCCCCAAGGAAGATCCATCTGTATTCAGTTTAAGGAAACTCAGGAGTGGGAGTGACCAGATGGGCCAAGGTCTATTCGATGGGGTATGCAAATTCAGGAGGCATTCCTATTTAGTCAAGAAATGGGATTTCGGGATGCTTGCAAAGATTGGTACTGTTTTGGCCCAGAGGGAGATTAAGATAGAAATGAACTCAAAAACAAATTGCCGAGTTTTTTTTTATCCCTGTAAAACTTCTGGCATTTCTCTCTATCCACCAGCTCCACCATTTCTTACGATAGGTGGGGGCGAAAAGAGATTCACAAAGGTTAGGTTGGGGGGCGACCCACTGCAAGCCAAACAGTTTAAGGAGCGAAGACCAAAGTCCTTGAGAGATCTCACAGTTTATGAAAAGGTGGGGTATTGTCTTCCTAGAGACAAAAGATGCAACAGTTGGGAAAGGAGATGCCTTGGCGCTGAAGTTGGTCTAAGGTTAGAGGTTTACCTTGAGGGAGGACCCATATGAAGGCTTGGACTTTATGGGGGATAGGAAGAGACCACGATTGTTGAGGAGGGGTTGAAGGTTTAAAGTTTGGGAGCAGGGGGTTATCGAAAGAAGAGATTGAGAAGATACCCGAGGAGGTCTGGGACCAAATAAAAGAGTCAGGACGGAGAAAGAGGCAAAAAAATGGGGTTAAGAAGTTACAGAAGGGAGGTAAAGGAATTGGATTCCTGCTCTAAGAGATTTCTCCTGAAAATTGGGGTCTAGACAAGGTTGAACCCTCGAAATTCTACATAATCAGCTATGAGAGGTGCTTGGTTACAAGCCAAAAGAAAGAGAGAAGGGAAGGCATTATTGAGGGGGCGGGAAATGGCCTACCCAAAGGTCTGGCTAGAATTTGATACCCATTTCCCAATTTTAATCTAGTACGATTGACCAAAGAATTTTTGATGTAGGAGATACTTTTCCATGCTCTTGAAGACTTATGAGGGGGGGCCTTGGGCAACCAATCTTCGTACCCCATCCCATATTTAGCATGGATGACGTCTTTCCATAAGAGGTGATGGGGTGAAGAAAACTTTCATCGCCATTTACCCAAAGGGCAAGGTTCATATTTCTTAGGCTTTTTTTATTCCTAACCTGCCGAATGTTTTTGGGGACAGTCTTTTTCCCAAGCAAACTAACAGTATTTTTTGGTACCTTCTGTACCAGACAAAAGGAAATCTTGCATAAGTTTTCCCAATCTACGGATGACTGAGATAGGGATTTGAAAGGGGGACATGTAGTGGATAGGAATACTGGCAAGTGTGGCTCTGATAAGGGTAATTCTACCCTCAAAGGAAAGGAAGCGACTCTACCAAGAGGCAAAATTTGATGTAAATTTTTCTATTAAATTTATCCCATAGATGTTTCCCAGGTTTTCCCAAGCAGAGAGGTAGAAGTAGGTAGGAGGGGAGGGTTTCCATGGAGCAGCCTAATCGATGAGCTAGACTGTTAAGTTTTACGGTTTCAACCAGAACCCCTATCATTTTTGTTTTAGAGAGAGGTCAAAAGTTCTAAGAAATGCCAAAGACGATCCACTTGTTCTGGATTTAGCATCGCAGAAAAGAGTATCATTTGTGTAGGGAAGGTGTAAGATTACTGGTCCAGATGGAGAAGATCTAAAGCCCGACAGGAGACCCTTGTTCTATAGTCTAGAGATGGTTATGGAGAAAAGCTCTCATATGAGAGTGAAAAGGAAAGGCGAGAGGGGATCCCCTTGCCTAAGCCCTCTGCTAGCTTGGAAAAAACCTTGAGGATCCATTAAGACAAATTGAGAAAGAAGGGTTGGATATGCATGCTTGAATCCATTTCCTCCAGCAAGGGCGAAAACCGATGCGCTTTTAGATAGAGTTTAGGAGTTCCCACTCCAACCTGTCATAAACCTTTTCCAAGTCTAATTTAATTTTAAGGCCTTTCTGGCCAAATAAGGACCTAGAGTGAATGGCCTCATGAGCAGCTAGGTCTCCATCTAATATTTCCCTATTTGCCACAAAGGTGGATTGAGTTGGGGATATGACTGAACTGAGAACCTCCTGAAGTTGGGAAGCCAGAGCCTTAACAAATATTTTATATGAGCAAGTGAGAAGGCTGATTGGTCGAAAAACCCCCATCGTATGGGCTCCTTCTAGTTTAGGCACTAGAGCCATGAAGGTGCAATTTACGGCTGAATTAAGCCTAGCTCTAAGAAAGAACTCTGAGAAGAAAGCCATGAGGTCTAAGAAATAGTGTCCTATAAATTTTGGTATATCACTACCGAGAATCCATCAGGTCCCGAAGCCTTGTCTCTAGGGAGGTCAAAGACCGCTGTGTGGATTTCCTCAATGGAAAAAAGCTTTTTTAATCTTTATGATTCTGCAAGGGATATAAATTGGAAGGTAAGAGTCCCCAAGGTGGGGCGCAAGAGGAGAGGTTTTGAGAAAAGATTTTTTAAATACCTAATGAACAATCTGCTGATTTCACAAGGGTGGGAGTAAGAGTTTGGCCGTACCAAAATTTGAGTGATTGCATTCCTCGTAGGTCTAGAGCTAGTTGTCTTACGGAAGAAAGTTGCATTTCTGCCCCCTTCTTTAAGCCACTTGATTCTAAAGCACTAGAACCAATAAGTTTCCTCTTGCTTCAGAGTTTGGGATAGGTTAAACTTTGCCTAAGCTTGAGGGTGTATTTCTAGTGGTGTAAGAGGGCGATTCTCTTCTCTTGAATATAGGTCTGAGATTGTAGATAACAGAACTCTAATGGGGTCCTTAAAGTTTGATGGCAGATTTCAACAGCAAAGCTTCAAGGAATCTTTGAGAATTGGAAGTTTGCGGGATAACCTAAAGCCTGCCCAACCAAGGACAAAGGATGAGGACCAAATGGAAGAGAAGGTGAGGCAAAGGAAGGTTCTTCCATCCATAAAAGTTCAAACCTAGAAGGTTTTTTGGGGCTAAGAATCATATGGGTGTCAAGAAGAATAGGCTCGTGGTCAGAGGTTGATTTTGGGAGAGCCCGAGAGCAAGTCCCTGAGAAAAAGGATTCCCAGGGTGGTTAACCAAGAACGATGGATTTTGGCCATTGTGGGGATAGGGGCATGGTTAGACCAAGTAAAGGATGCCCCTGAGAGTGGGATGTCAATGAGAGGGATACTCTCAATTAAGTTTGAAAAATCGCTCATCGACGAGGTCAAACGGCCACCATTTGATTTTTCATGAGGCCACCTGATCGAGTTAAAGTCTCCAGCCAGGATCCAAGGGAGATCAGATGGAGCAGCAAGGGATGTAAGTTCCTGTCAAAGGTTTTCTCTAAGGGACAGGGAATTGAGGCCATAGACAAATGTTGACCTAAAAAGGAAGTTATCAGTGATTCTATAAAAAGAAATAGAAACTGAAAATTCCAAAACTTAGGACGAGATGGCTTGTACGACAGTTGGGTTCCAGATAACCCAAATGCCCATAGAGGCACCCTGGGAGTCTTTAGTGACCTAGGCGCAGGGGATGCGGCCCCAGATATCCCTAACCAAGGAAAGGTTAGAGATACGGAGCTTAGTTTCAAAAAGTGTTAAGATAGTGGGGTAATTGGAAGAAACTAGTGAGTGAACAGCACAACGCTTAGCGTGTCTGCCAAGGCCTCAGATATTCCAACATAGGACCTTCATCAGAGTCAATTGGGGTGGCAAGAGGATCTCTTGGTGGATCTCCTCTTCTTAGGGCTAAGAGGAAGAATAGAGGAGAGGGAAATCAGCTAGGCTGAAGTCCGACGGGTATCATAGTTTACCCTTGAGTGAAGCTTAATTAACCCCTTATATCCTCTAAAAGACTTTGGTGAGGGGGTTACCAATGGCGCACTCGCAGCAGCCCTAAGATGATCTAAGATGTATGAAATGTCCCCAGTGAAGACAAGACCGCAATCATCAATCATATCCGCCATATGGGGTCCGTTCCCATCAATTCTTTCGAGCTCCCTTGAATCGACAGAAGCAAAGGATTGGATGTCGGAGTTGAATTTGGCCTCAAGAAAGGGGTTTTGGAGGGGATAGCGAGATCTGTACTCCTGGCGGAAAAGATTGGAGGGAAGCAAGGAATAAAGGAATCTCTTGAGAGGGAGTGTAAGGTGGAATGAAAGGAGGGAAAAAGTAGTTGAGGGAAGGAATACATGGGGGAAGTCTCCTGCCGAGGATTGGGCCGCATTGAGAGCAAAACGCATCTCAAGCGGGATGGGAACAAGTTCGTCTACATCTGAGTATTGGACACCAGTGGGTTTGGGAGGAGAGTGGCGAATGGGTTGGAAGAGGTGGGTTTTTCTAAGGACAATTTAGAGAACACAAAGAGCGGAAGGGGGTAGAGGTCGAGTTAGGAGGAGGGGCCGGAAAGCCAAGGTAATTGACATATTGAGGGCAGTGGGGAGGGCCAAGAAGTGTGGGGGTCCTAGGTCCTGAGGAAGAAAGCGCGATTCCAGATTCTTTTTCCTGATTGGGAAGGTTAGATTGGTGTTGAAACCAACCAGGATAGGAAGGTTTTTGTTTCTGGCAGCAAAGGATAGTAGGCGTTGAGAATGGGTTGAGAGGTTAAGACAAGAAGGGGGTGAGCAGGAGCATTTGGGCTCCACCAGAGAATAGAAGGGGAATACAATGAGAGAGGCGTTGCTGGGGGAGGAGAATGAGAGAGGCGATGCTAGGGGAGGAGAAAGGTTTAGAAGTGATTGATTTAGGGGTTTAGAAGTGATTGATTTAGGAGGGATTGGTTCAGGGAGTGATGGGTACGAGTTTAATGCAGTCATCCTTGGTTCAGGGAGTAATGGCAGGGGAATTGTGATCTCTGTTAAGGAGGCCATTAATACTGAGAAATGATGGGGCACATGTTGGTGGCGCATGCAAGAATTCAACAGCGTCAGATGTCTGGGAGGTACTCCCCACATTAATGGAGGTCTTTAATGGAGCACAAATGTCGAAATAATTCGAAGGTGATGATGAACGAACTCGAGATGATGACGGGAGGTGAGATCTAGATAGATGATGAGTCTCGAGGTCTCTCGAAGGTGTTGAGTGTAGACCATAATTGGGGTGGGAATCTCAAGAAAAAGGAACAACGGGTGGAACAGGAATCGAGGGATCTGAACCATGGTCCTGAGAACATCAAGGGGCAGTAGCATTTGTCGGCCCCGGAGTATGGTTAATCCAGATATTGGACTAGAGCTTTGATGATCCACCGGTAAAATTCTCATGCTCTAATAGGTAGGGCCCCCAGTCCCCAATCCTACCATTCCGAAGCTAATATCACTTGTATAATCACATTAGGCAATCCAGAAGTTGTTCGCGATCTCTTGAAGTATTTCCAAATGAAATTTGATATCAACAAATTTAGAATTACTTAATTACTTCCTCTACATTAAGGCAATTAGGTCCCTTAAGGGAACCTTCATGTTACAAAGCACTATGAATCTCTTAAAAAAAAAATACTAGCTAGAACTTGCCAAAGCCTGATGAAACACCCCTTGGAACCAACATTTTCCTTGGCGGTAATAATGGGAAAACAGTAGGAATATGTTAGATGAAAATGATGGGACAGATGATGAGAACATGGGTGATGGGACTTAGGAACTTCCTTGGCATCGAGATAGCTAGGTCATTTAAGAGCATATTCATGCCACCAAGCACCATAAATCTCTTCAAAAAGGGTAGAAAAAACAGTTGCCAAACCTTGAGACCAACTTGTTCTTTGGGTGCTAAAAGTAGGAGAACTAGTGAAGATCTTTGAAGAAAATGGTAGGATAGATGACAATGATGATGATGAGGGGGATCACAACCACATCAAGAACAGATGAATATATTCTCTTAATATTCCTAAGGAAATGGTTAGGAACCTTAAAACTTGGATATGGCAACAAAATAGTGTGTAACTTTGGACACTTGTTTTTGAGATATTATATTTTTTTTAATGGGAATCATATACAAAGATAATGCTACCTTTCATATAAAAAGGTCACAAATGCAACAAGTCATCAGATGTAAAATATGATGGGCTGGGGTGTAAGATTTCTCCACACAAAGTAAAACAAAAAATTTCTGACCTTAAGCATGGTGAATGTTATACCTGCAGCTGCTCGGCATGACATCTGACAGATTGGGGTGTTTGTGACCTTTTGTAGGGAAGGTAATCATTCTCACTGTATACTTTTCTGTTTTCCTAGCATTTTTTTTCAGATTTTACATTATACCTCATATAAACTTATAATTAAACTCATGTTTCGAGGGCCGCCAAACATGGGTAGCATGAGAGAAGCACAGGTTTCAAATTTTGAAGTATTCCCCTCAGACAAATTATGATGTGTACTGGAGTAAAAATTATAATGTACTCACATTTTCAAAAGGCCAAAGTTGGGAAAATGCATGGGGAAACACTTTAATTGATATCACTTTATCCTTAGTGATTCAACAAGGTCTAGGACAGTAAAAATTATTCAAAATTTGAAACACATGTGGTGTAGTAGATTTCTATAGTTCATGCTCCATAGGGTGTGAAATCCTTTAGGAAATAAAGCTAAGGAAGCACCCTAATTAAATTTCAAAGTGCAAACCATATAGTGTGTAAATTAGAAATTGCAAACTGAGTGCGTTGCCTTATTGCTGTAGGCTGTAGCTAAAGTTTCACTGTATGCATTAGTATAAGACAGAATTGGTCCATGAGGAAGAGGGCCGTCTCAATCAATTGAAAGATGACTAATAAGAAACAGTATCATCACTAAAGAAGGCGAGGAAAAGAACTTTCCAAAAACCTCTACAAACAAATATCAATCACAATCACAAACATGAAGCCCTTTTCAATGACCATAAATAAACTCGAAATTCCCCCAATGAACTCAGAAACTAAAAACTAAACAATAGAAGAAAAGGGAAAGAAAACCAAAAACAAATAATTCTAAATCCCAAATGCTCGAGAAGAAGTAATCCATCCATTAGAAGCAACAAGCAACAAAAAAACAAGAGACAGTTAGACATTTGTTTCTTTTAGGGATCAAACAATGCCATAAAATCAAAACAAAAAAAAATAAGGAAAACAAAGAAACTTGCAGTAGCATCAGAGCATCGAAATGCTGAATTGGTACCAGAGAGAGCAGATAGTCTCCTTCCTTAGTGAGCAAGAAGATGCATAGCTCTCGCACTAATTTCAACCTCCGATCATCATCTGCAAGCTCCACATCAGGGAAATAACTGGGCCAAACCCTAGCAATGTCACTCGACTCCGTGTCATGTGATTCAGGGAAGTTCACAGCTTCAAAGTCATACATTTGCAGCGAAAACAGAGGCAGTAAAATTTGAGTTTTGGGGGAGATCGGCTTCAATTGAGTGCTTAGGGAAGTTGCAGCGCTGATTTTAAGCGGGAAACACCGAAACAAATGGCCTCTTCCCTTTTCAAAGCGGGAAAGAGAAAAGTTTAGGTGAGGCTGTATTCATATGCAGCCCCTTTCATAAAACAAAATTCCATTGGAAAATTATCCGAAATATACTTTAGTTTTCACCTAATTGCAAAAAAAAAAAACAAAACAAAACAAAACTCTCAACTTTCATAAACCTCCTCCTCAACTTTGGCATTTGTTTATCAAAATGGCATTCACGGAAATTGTATTATCTTTATTACCGTATTATGGTACTTTAAGTATCATAATGACTAGGCTAAGTAATTACGGTAATTTAAAGACCGTAATGCTCATTAGGTCTCTTTGTTCTCATTTGCCACATCTCATCAGACTTTTCCTTTGAGGTAAGAAATATTTCCCCCATTTTTGTTTTTTTAGCAAGTTTCGAGAGTACTTTGTAGCATTTCAACCAATTTGAATTTTGAGTATTACAACGTGCTTATGGTCTTTAAAGTACCAAAATGCCTAGAAATTTGAGCATTACGGTCTTTAAAGTACCGTAATGCTTAGCATGGTCTTTACATTACTTAAAAGATCGTAAGTCCTTAAACACTATTGAAAAACTAGGAATTTTGAGTATTATGGTTTTTAAAGTACCGCAACACTTAGCATGATCATTACATTACTTAAAATACCGTAATGTATTGCTTGGTCATTACGATACTTAAAGTACTGTAATACGGTAGTCATTACGGTAATACGACAACCATGAAAGCTATTTTGATAAAAAAAAAGCCTAAAATGATAAAAAAGTGTGTGGACGAGGTTTATGAAAGTTGAAGGTTTTTTTCCAATTAGATGGAAATTAATGTATATTTCTTATAATTTCCTGATTCCACTTTATTAGATGTGGATTTAGGAATCGGATACGCATTGTATGCATCTCCTTTCTTGTAGATGTAATTATATACAAATAATTAAAATAAATAGAGATGAATAAAAACCCTTTTTTTGGGGATCATAAAAACGCAAATTATCCATTGTAATAAAGTTCTAGATTCTAAAATCCATTTTTGAAGGAGACTGCATTTCAAATAGTGCCGCCAGAGCAAAACTCTGTCCTTACTTTTTTTTTTTTGTAATTCAGTGGGGAAGACAAGCTCTGCCCATTTTTTTCAAATAGTTTAGGAGTTAGGTTTTTTTTAAGATGTTAGTGGGAATGAAAAGCACAACATGGTGACTGAAATGTGGAGATGCTACCACCACGACCCAACCCCTTTCCCACTCCATCCTTGATCTTGACTTTATAAGGAACTGCTCCTTAGTCACTCATGCTATCCACATGCTTGGAAGCAGGCCTAAGTATATCTACTAGTTCTTGAAACATCTCATAGGTAGATCGAACTAGTCACCCCCATTACAAATTGAACCAGCAATCCGATGACTTGGGGCAATAGACTCGACTAAATTTAGAAAAACAAAATTAAAAATTGAGAACAAAATTTAAAATGTTTAAACAACACATTTATAATGAAAGCATTTTTGTTGTGAATTGTGGGTGTATTAGTCCAAATCCCAATTTGGAGAGAACCATGCACTTGTCATGTTCTAGTTTTCGAGAATTTCAAATATCATGTATTTCAGTGAGTGGGGATGCCTTTGAAATATATTGGCTTGGCATTTTTTCACGATTGTGAAGTTTTGCATAATCGATGTTTCTTTTTATTAACCCAAAGGGGATAATTATATATTACAATTACATGCTAAATATAATCCCTTGATTATGGGGATTTTACAAGATATATGTTATTCCTAGTTGTAAATCCCTGGATTGTAGGGATTTACAATTTGAAATAATGAAACCGTCTAACACTCCCCCTCAAGTTGGAGCATGAATATCGAGAACATCCAACTTGCAAATCAAAGAATTGAATTGGTCGTGGCCAAGAGCTTTAGTGAATACATCAGCAACTTGTCGTGTTATTGGAATGTAGGAGGTCCGAATAACTCCATTTTGGATCCTTTCTCGAATGTAATGACAATCAAGCTTGATGTGTTTTGTCCGTTCATGAAACACAAGATTGGCAGCAATGTATAATGTAGCAGGACTCACAGCTGGCAATAGTCATAGCTCGGTATTCGACCTCGACGGAAGACCAACTAACAGTATGTTGCTTCTTGGTTTTCCAAGATATAAGAGAATAACTAAGAATAGCATAATATCCAGTGGTAGAGCGGTGGGTATCTGGCAGCTTGCCCAATCAGAGTCACAAAAAACTCGAAGTTGAAGAGGGCTGTCAGAGGAAAAAAATAAACCTTGTCCCAGTGGAAGTTGTAACTAACGAACAAGGTGTAGGGTTGTTTCATAATGCGGCCACCATGGTTGACTCATATACTGACTAAGGATATTGTCTGGTCCAGCGAGAGTCAGATAAATGAGACGACCCACAAGGCGACTATACATAGTGGGATATGAAAGGAGTCTGATCATGATGCAGTTTGAGATTTTGCTCCATAAGGAGGTGAATAGGTCAGACATCAAGGAGACCTATTTTTTTAATTATCTCAAGTGTATAGTTGCGTTGTGAGAAACATAAACCCTTTTTAGACCGTGTCACTACAAGATCAAAGAAATATTTGAGAGTGCCAAGATCTTTTAAATGGTAGCGGCAATGTACGAAGGATTTGAGAGACTGTATGGCATGTGAATTGATGCTTGTAACAATGATATCATCGACATAAACCAAAATTATTAAAAAACCATCCTGGCGATTACGAGTAAACAAGGAGTAATTCGCTTTAGCTTGGGTAAAGCCAGCATCAATAAGAGTCGAGGAGAAGACGAGATGCCTGCTTGTGTCCATATATGGATTTGTGTAACCGGCAAACCCTTGTGCCATTTCAAAGCGCAAAGCATGTGCCATTTCAAGTATGTGGCGATGTTTGCGTTCGGCAACACTATTTTGTTGCGGTGTGTAAACACAACTATGTTGATGGGTGACCCCATGTTCTGTAAAAAAATATTGAATAATACGAGAAAAGAACTCTGATCGATTATCTGTCCTTATGTGCGTAATAGTTCATTGAAAATGAGTATTTACAAATACAAAAAAATATTTTAATAAGGATGGAGTCTCAAATTTGTTTTACATAAGAAACACCCACATGGAATGAGAAAAATCATCAACAAAAGTTAAAAAATAACGAGCTCCACAATGGGAAGAAGTGGAATAACCTCCCCACATATCACAATGAATCAAATAAAAGGTGCAATAGATGAAATAGAACTTGAAACGAAAGGTAATCTTGTTTATTTAGCCAAAGGACAAACATCACAATGACGAGGATTGAAAACAAATATCTCATCAACAGTCTTAGCTAACAAATTCAAATGAGTAGAAGAAAAATGTCCTAAACATTTATGTCATAAATCAAAACCAACTGAAATGGACGAAAGAGCAGTAGGAGTCAGTGGATGGGCTTCAAAATAGTAGCGGCCACCAAGCTGCTTAACTGTTCCAATCATCGTCTTCTGTTACAGGTCTTGAAAAATGCATATATCATGAGATAATGTCACTGAGCAAGGATAGAATACAGTAAATTTGTTGATAGAAAGTATATAGAATCCAAAAGAAAGAATACACAATGCTTGATGTAAACAAAGTGTAGGTGTTAAAAAGACATAGTCAATATGAGTTACCGAAGCAAATGAGCCATTTGGAAGTTTGACAGGTGTTAGTAAGAAACAGGTGTAGATGAAAGAAACAAAGATGTGTCAAAAATCATGTGATCAGAAGCGCCTGTGTCTACAATCCAAGTATGGAGAGGAATGGAAGATGGGGAGAAGATGTGGAGTTACTTGCAAAGTTGACCATTGGTTGTGCATTACCTTCAATAAGCATAGAGAGCAAGCGACGATATTGATCATGTGTAAATTGTGTGTTGCTTTAACTTGAATTTGCAGCAACGATGTTTTTCTCATTTATTGTAGGCTTAGAATATGTCCTTTTGCCCGGTTGGTACAATCGATGGTCCGATGGATAACTATGAAGAACATAACAAGTGTCAATGGTGCGGCCTACCCAGCCATAATGATCACATTTGGGCCGCTGTTTGCGAGGACCTTTTGCTTTGTCTGTCTTGTTGAAAGGATGCCGAGGTTGGTGGTTTTTAGTAGGTGTAGCAGTGTTGATTAAAAGGAAACAACATCCTCTGAATGAATTTTTTTGTAGCTACCTGCCACTACTTTTCTTCTTTAAGAAAAAGAGAATAAGCTCTATTGGACATTAGAAAGAGGATCCATGAGAAGGATCTGGCCTCAAATTGGGTAATAAGCCTCATGGAGTCCCATGAGAAATTGAATTAATATGTCATGTTGTAGATAGCCATGCAAGGCCTTAGAAGACCCACAGAACAGGGTAGAAGAGGGGTATAAGAAGCAAGTTCTTGCCAAAGAGATTTAAGTTTGGTGTAATAAGCTGAAATGGTGGAAGAATTTTAAGAAACAAGTGCAAGATTCCATCGTAACTTGAAGAGACGAGGTGTATTGCTTTGAGAAAAGCGATCTTTCAGATCATCTCACATGTCTTGAGCAGTGGTTTCATAGGAAATACTATCAGCAATATCTTTATTGACAGAATTTTGGATCCAGGATCGAACCATATCATTGCATCTTTTCCATAGAATATGATTAGAAGAAGAGATGAGAGGTATGATTAAAGAACCATCCACAAAGGAGAGCTTATTTTTTGCACTCAAAGCAGTGGTCATAGCTCGACCCCATTGTGGATAATTCTCTCCTTCAAGTATGTGAGAGACAAGAATATTGTCAGAATTGTCATTGTTGGTCAAATGAAAATGGCTAGTGAAATCAATAACGTCATAGTGTTTCCCATCAGGGATGACATTGGCGGAGTCTTCAGAAAGATGAAGTATTTAGTTGTCCATGGCAATAGCAACGAATAAGAAATTTTGAAGGAACTGCATTAATGGAATACAAGTAGCAGGGAATTTA